AATTTGGACTTATCAGACCAAAGGACAGATTTCCACTGGTCTAATGTCCATTGCTCGTGTTTCTTGGCCCAAGCAAGTCTCTTCTTATTATTGGTGTCCTTTAGTAGGTGTTTCTTTGCAGCAATTAGACCATGAAGGCCTGATTCACACAGTCTCCTCTGAACAGTTGATGTTGAGATGTGTCTGTTACTTGGACTCTGTGAATAATTTATTTGGGCTGCAATTTCTGAGGCTGGTAACTCTAATGAACTTATCCTCTGCAGCAGAGGTAACTCTGGGTCTTCCTTTCCTGTGGCGGTCCTCATGAGAGCCAGTTTCATCATAGCGCTTGATTGTTTTTGTGACTGCACTTGAGGAAACTTTCAAAGTTCTTGACATTTTCCGGATTGACTGACATTCATGTCTTAAAGTAATGATGGACTGTCATTTGTCTTTGCTTATTTGAGCTGTTCTTGCCATAATATGGACTTGGTCTTTTACCAAATATACCACCCCTACCTTGTCACAACATAATTGATTGGCTCAAACGCATTAAGAAGGAAAGAAATTCCACAAATTAACTTTTAACAAGGCACACCTGTTAATTGAAATGCATTCCAGGTGACTACCTCATGAAGCTGGTTGAGAGAATGCCAAGAGTGTGCAAAGCTGTCATCAAGGCAAAGGGTGGCTACTTTGAAGAATATAAAATATTAAATATATTTTGATTTGTTTAACACTTTTTTGGTTGCTACATGATTCCATATGTGTTATTTAATAGTTTTGATGTCTTCATTATTATTCTACAATGTAGAAAATAGTAAAAATAAAGAAAAACCCTTGAATGAGTAGGTGTGTCCAAACTTTTGACTGGTACTGTACATTCAATGACCAATGTACAATTCATAAATGAACATGGGGAAAAACACTAGGCAGCATAGAAAATAAAGTAACATAGTGGTGTATTTAAAAATGGACTAATATCATTCAGTTAGCTTCTGTAAGACACACAACTGAAAATCGAACTTTACATCCATATATTTACTTTTTGAGGGGGTACACTACACACAGTGTTAATTGTCATATGGTTAATTCACCTCAATTAGCCTTCTCAAAGTTCCCACAACCGCTCTAGGCTTACCATTATATCAGTTCAGAACTAGAAGTGAACAAAACAATTGTAACTTGATTTTTGGAGTGTCAGTCAGACAGTGGACTTTAGTGATGCGCGGGTTTAGGGTCATGAAATATTGTGTGGATGAAGAGAAAACAATACATGAATCCATAAATGTATAATTCTTGTGCAATTTCTATCTATAGGCTACATTGAGGTTTTCATTCATTATTATTTGGCTATATGGCACTAACTTTACACTTGCCAAATAGCCTACACACCAATCGTCAAACGCTTTTGGGAACGGGCAGAAAAAGTTAATGTCAAAAAGGACAATTTACATTTTTACATTTACATTTACGTCATTTAGCAGACGCTCTTATGCAGAGCGACTTACAAATTGCTGCATTCACCTTATGATAGCCAGTGGGACAACCACTTTACAAATAGATGCGATTCGCCACCTGGTTATCAGAAGGGGGAAAGGTGGACATTTTTACATTTACATTTTAGTCATTTAGCAGACACTCTTATCCAGAGCGACTTACAGTTAGTGAGTGCATACATTTTTTCATACAATGTCAGAGTTTAATTTAATATTTAATTCAATAAGAGAAAATCTGCAAAATGGAGAGTTGAAAATATAGAGAAGGGAGGGCCAGAAAAGTAATGTTTGGGAAAGTGATGGTGAAGTGGCAAAAGAGGATGAAAGCAGTGTGATGATTGTAAGGCCCTATACAAATTCAATCACAAGACAGGGACTTCAAATAGGCCTATGTCATGTCAAGGGAACTGTAGCCTACTCTTCAGATGGGTTAAATGGAAACTGAAATATGGATACTGACTGTAGGTCCATAACCTCTCACATAGTCTTAATATTAACTCCTTCAGAATTAAGCATTTCTTGCTGTAAAATTATACAACAAATGTACATTTTGACTCAGGAACAGGAGTGGAGAAATTATTTATTTCTTTAGCATCTTGAGAGAATGTGAATGTGCAGTTAAGGATTGTAGGTAGAGGTGCTATCTTTATCAGCATCATACAAGCTGATAGTATTTTCACAACAACATTTAACAATATGCATCAAAGCTGAACTGAAATCTTTTCAGAAAGATGTTGGGTGGTTTTCGCAGCTTTCTATTCCCTTACAACCTGTCAAACTCATGTAATTTGGACATTTTTCACAGAAAATCTTTCCCATTTTATTTTTGAGTTATTGCATTTTCTCCGCGGTCCCTAAACGTCTTCACTACACAAAAGAAGCAGCGATGACATAGAAAACTTTACCGATTTCAACTGGATTGGAGCATTCATTCTATCATTTATGACATTATTCTGGTGAACAAGGGTTTATTTAGTCTTCTAGGGAAACATAATGACAGAAGAGAAGCTGCATGTATCTAATTATAGACACGTTGACTAACAAATAGCCTACCAAAATGTCAGAAATGATAAGCAGAGACATACAGTATTTAAATTAGGCACAAAAAAATCATGCACCCCCTGTCAAAAACTCTGTAGACTGTAGCCTACACCGCATTTTCTATATTAGCAGGTTATTGTCAGGTGCGGGCCTCAGATTTTCACATTGTTGGGAGGTTGTGAATGGGTTATTAGCAATTGCGTGCGGGGGAACAAACAGCTGACCGCGCACCACTAGTGGAAATGGCACAAGGCAGATACAGGAAGCAGGAGCAGGCTAACTACAGTACGTGACACCTGTTAGCCATGTTAGTTATTGTAGCTCTTCCATTTAAAGCTGGTTTACACAGTATAAAGCTGCCATTCACAGTATACAGATTCACTCTTTCTGCAAAAACAATGATACTTGATTGGACATTCGTGGGTGGCAGGCTCGGCGGGGGAGATCACAAGCCCTTACCTGAGGATGTTTAAAAAAAATGTTTTTTTCTGTTCATTTCCATAAAAGGAAAATGAACGAAAATCATTGAAAGATCCATTAGTGTCATCAAATAAGTATTTCATTAGTGTCATCAAATAAATCATAAAAGGTGCAGATATTAAAATACATAAAGGATTGTTTTTCAATGAAAAAAAGTGGGGGGAAAGAAATAATATAAAAACATAAAATAAAATACGTTTTTTAAATTGATTAAATAGAAAATAATAGAAAAATAGAATAGAAAATAAGTCCTCCAGTCCCCTCTTGACATATTATTGCAACCCCAGTCTCTACTCAGATGGCATGGGCAGATAGACGGTGGAGGTGGTTGGGGATCTTCAGTTACATAAAAATATACATTCCTCCCAAATAAATGAGGAGATATGTCAAATCAATCCTCCTCTATGGCAGTGATAGGGTGCTGCCCTGCAAGTTGCGCTGGTGGTAGGTTGAAGTACAACTGGTGTTTGGTTCTGGTGGTTGACTGAGGGTTGGTGGTTAGTTCTGGTGGTCATTTGAAATCCTACTGGTGGAGATTAACATAGGCTTTACTCTAGAACAAGGGTCGGTCCAAGGTTGTGAACAGAGTATCAGGTGATGAGCATAGGAGTTACTCTAGGTCAATGGACCAAGGTTGTGAATGGTGTATCATGTATCAGGTGGCCAGTCTAGCTTTCGATCACCTCATTCAGCTCCAACAGGAGGTCGTTAAATCCCTAGCCGGGGTCCAGCTCACAGTTGAACTCATGATAGTAGCCTAAGAACTTTTTCATTCGCTCGTCAAATTCATCCATGGCAGAGGAGGAGGAGCTGGCAGAGGGGGCCTCCATGGCAGAGTGAACATCACCACAGGGCCGGAGAGAGGACTCCTGGGAACCACAAGGCTCATCTGGGCCTCGACACTGGAGGAGGGAGAGGACACCTGGAGATAACACACAAATGTTATCGACACAGGTTATAATAACAGTGGTATTACCATAGAGATCCTATACAAATTACTAAGTGCATCGCCATAACATCACAAAGGAATCCCTACACAGAGCGTGAGCAAACATTGAGACCTACCTCTTTCCGTTTGCAGGGCGGCTCCTGCAGTAGTTCCTCCTGTGCTGCAGAGGTGCTGTTGAGGGGTGTGCTGTTGACTGCAGCGACCGCATATGTGTCTGCTGATTTCCTCGTCCTCTTCTGGCCCTTCTGGCCGGGCTTTATCTGGACAGCCTGCTTCATCACAGAAGGCCTCATGTTCAGCTTGGACCTCACTGTCAGGAGGTCAGACTAATAATTTTGAGTTCTTCAATGACATGCTTACTTGCAAGCTCTCCTCAACAGTGCAGTACAAATATCAAATATCAAAGTCAGCTTGAAAAAAGTAATATATATTAACTTATATCTTTGCTGCATAGATCCTGGGTGCCAGTCTGTTTCTGCTCTGTCAGGTAAAACAGTCTGGGCTTTCGGTAATTTCAATGTTCAATATGCAGCCGGGTTTTGTACAAGGTCACTGATTGGTTGATGAACATAACATTGAACCATAACCATGACAACATGCGGAACCTCAATTTAGAATTCGATTTTTAATAGCTAAGTCAAAAACAAACATTTTGATGTTTGCTAGGCAAGCACTAGTATTTTGATGTTTAAAATCAAAGCTAACAAGTTTTGTGGTTGAAATTCCAGTATGTATTTAGTTGGAGAAATTTGACTCGCGCCAGCAACATTTGACAGAGTGGCTTCATCATGTCAAACACAAAATGGTTGCTTAGCAACCAGACAATGCAATAGTTCCTTTCTTTATTTGTATTTAACAAAGTTAGTTTCGTTAAGTAAAAATATACAGCACCAGTCAAAAGTTTGGACACAACTACTCATTCAAGGGTTTTTCTTAATTTTTACTATTTTCTAGTAATAGTGAAGACATAAAAACTATGAAATAACACATATGGTTCATGTAGTAACCTTGAATTAGTAGGTGTCCAAACTTTTGACTGGTACTGTAGATTTTTAAAAGACACCTGGACCAAGACAGTAGCATCAACACATACGTTTCAGACAAACAGGCACATGTCATCAACCAGACATGACATCAATCAGTAATGTACACGAAACAAGAAATACATCAGAGTGCAATACGTCAAGCATTATTAGAGCTTGCAATAAATCACAGGGCCATTACAGTATAAGACATAATTCAAATAAACAACATGCTTTCTTACATTAGGCAATGCTGACCAGTGACATCGCAGGGGACAACTATAAACAACTAGGCCTACATGCCTCAATAACCTGCTCATCTATTTGTCATTTGAACTCTCTAGGGACACCAGGTTGGCTTGGAGGGAATTCCAAGACCAGGGACCTGCTCTGTTCTGATGTTTGGGACTGTTAGCATAAAACAGGATTGTTAAACAAGTGAGAGAGCTTTGAGAGCCTTTTCTCTGCAGACATGTACTGTACCTTCAGTAGCTTGCCCAGGAGATTTCTTCTGGGATCCATCTTGAGCCTTCTCAACCAGATCCTCATCCACAGAGCGTCCAGGGGAGTCTGTTGCTGCTGCTAAGGCAGCCTGCTTGGGGGGACTGGCACCTCCCGGGGAGCCTCTCTTCCTCTTACCTGGGGCAGCGCTGGAGCTCCTGGAGCTGAGGGAGTGGGGGTCTGCCTCAGCCTGCTTCAGCGGAGACCCCTGCTGGGGAAAGGCAGTGGCACAGAGTACATGGGAGGCTGCCTTGGGTTTGAGAGTGATGCGCTGGCAAAGGGGTGCCTTGGGTGCCTGGGCGAGTACCTCCAGGGTGATGGTGTGGGGTGAGGAGGTGGCAGAGGGGATGACCCTCATTATGATGGAGGTCATACTCTTCTCCCTCTGGAGGGCGGAGTCTGCGGCCTGTGTCTGGGCAGATTCGGCCTTGGCGGAACCCTCTGAGGCCTGCTCTTCCTGCAGCCTTCAGCCTCTTCTCACGCATGCTCTCCTCGAAGGTCTTCACCTTCAGGCTGGCACCAGACACAGTATCGCTCCTACCGTTAGCAGGGCTGGCCTAAAGACAACAGGACCACAGAGATATTCAGTAATTAACCAAACATTCAAAGCAGAACTACTTATTTGGATCTAAACTATTCAGACAGAAGGACACATGATAGGAGGTATGGCAGTCTTACCTCAGTAGCAACAGCAGCAGACTCAGCTGGCTTCTCTGTCACCTCAGATATCTTCTGGGTGGTAGTGCTAGCAGCTGCCAGGGGGGAAAAAATATGTGTGTAAGTCTTACAATTATACAAAAAACTACAGCTAGTGGTCTGGACACCTTACAATGTAAATTGCTATGAACAATTAGAAGCACATATAAAATTAATTTGTTTTTGTCCATAGAGCAAAGATTACCAGGAGAAGCTGGTTTGTTGATGTGCAGTATGCAGGGCTTCTTGGCGCCTCCCTCTCCAGAGGCAGAGCCTGGCCTTTTCCCATTGGATGCCTCCTGTCCCTGGTCCTGCATCCTGGCTGCCTTCGCACTGCGGATCTCCTCCAGGGTTTTCACCTTCACTCCTCTGACAGGAGGGGCCACCCGCATGGGCATGGCTGGGTGGGTGGGTCCGCAGGCCTGGGAGTTACCTGGAGCTGCTTCCACAGCCTGCTGGTTGGCCTTCCTAAGGCTGGGGCCCTGGCCCTGCTGCAGGTCCTCCTCCAGCTTCCTCTTGGCGTGGAGGATCTCTGAGAAGGTCTTCACATGGAGACTGGTTGCAGGTTTGGCAGTGATGCTTCTCTTTGGGGCCTTGGTGGAGGTGATTGTGTCAGGGACTGAAGGGAGAGGGTGCTCCCCATGAGAAATAGTATTCCTGAACGTCTGAGGTAATTCATCCACTGTGGAAATATTGCTGTCGTTCTACCTTTCTCACCTTTCTGAGGGGGATGTTCTGTTTCATCCTCGCCCATTTTCCTCCCGAAGTGCTCGGCCAGATAGCGTTTCATTGACAGGTCACCCCCGGCAGGAACTTCTAAAAGGTCAGAAGTCATGAAAGGTCAAGTGTGTTGATGAGTGGCAATACAACCAATGACAACAGTTTTGTAGCAGAGGAGGCTGGTGGGAGGAGCTATAGGAGGACGGGCTCATTGTAATGGCTGGAATGGAATCAATGGAATGGTACCAAACACTGTTGTGTAGCTACATTGACTGGCAGTGTTGTCCTTACATTTTCTTAGTGATTCCTAGCTAATATGAGCTCTTTCCTCATCTTCCTTCTTTGACCAAAACTGGGGTTTCCAGAAGTTTCAAATGTACCTTTGACTATTATTTTCCCCAGCATGTCCGCAACGTTGTGTCTCCCGGTCTCTTCACCAAACACCACAGTGTCTGAGTAGGCAGCAAGCATTATGCTCTTAGAAAAAAGGGTTCCAAAAGTGTTCTTCAGCTGTCCCCTTTTTGGTTCCAGGTAGAACCCTTTTTGGTTCTAGGTAGAACTATTTTTGGTTCCATGTAGAAACCTTTGTATAAAGGGTTCTACCTGGAACCAAAAAGGGTTCTTCAAAGGGTTCTCCTATGGGGACAGCCGAATAACGTTTTTAGGTTCTAGAGAGCCCCTTTTTTTCTGAAAGTGTATTTTAACAAATTACAATACTGTACATGACATGTAGCAAGTATGTATTCATATACTTGTGGGATTCACTTAAACTAATTTTTTGTTATACACAACAAGGCTCAGCTAGATCAGTGTTCAACGATTCTTACCATCCTTAGCTGTGAAGAGAGATGGATGGATGAAGGATCTCATGATCTCCTTCTCTCCACTGGCTCCGTTGTTTCTCTGGTCTGAGGCCTGGCCAGGAATTGTATAACCTGAGAGACAAGCACAGTTGTCCAACTCACACGATAATCACATACAGCATGCAAATAAAGTAGGTAAGTACTGCATTGGGATTGTTCTAAGGGCTTTCAAATACAACCCTGCTTTGCCACTGACACACTAAAAGACAAAAGTGGTCAGCTCAAGTTTGAGTCCAGGCCTTGTGGATGTGTTGTGTTTCTATGTCCTCTTACCTGAGCTGGAGGCCATGGCTATCTTCCTGGGAGAGACTACTCTGGATCCGTCTGAGCTGGACCCGTTGTCCTCCCCCTCTGAGAACTGATCTGCACACACACAAACATACAGGAACCCCTCTTGGAGGAAGGTACAGTGCCTTCGGAAAGTATTCAGACCCGTTGACTTTTTCCACATATTGTTACGTTACCGTTTTATTCTATAGTGGATTAAATAAATACAAATTCTCAGCAATCTAAACACAATACCCCATAATGACGAAGTGAAAACATGTTTTTAGACAATTTTGCAAATTTATTAAAAATCAAAAACAGAAATACCTTATTTACATAAGTATTCAGACCCTTTGCCATGAGACTCGAAATTGAGCTCAGGTGCATCCTGTTTCCATTGATCATCCTTTCTACAACTTGATTGGAGTCTACCTGTGGTAAATTCAATTGATTGGACATGATTTGGAAGGCACACACCTCTCTATATAAGGTACCACTGTTGACAGCGCATGTCAGAGCAAAAACCAAGCCATGTGGTCGAAGGAATTGTCCATAGAGCTCCGAGACAGGAATGTGTCGAGGCACAGATCTGGGGAAGTGTAGCAACATTTTTTGGGCAGCATTGAAGATCCCCAAGAACACAGTGGCCTCCATCACTCTTAAATGGAAGAAGTTTGGAACCTCCAAGACTCTTCCTAGAGCTGACCACCCGGCCCAACTGAGCAATCGGGGGAGAAGGGCCTTGGTCAGGGAGGTGACCAAGAACCTGATGGTCACTTTGACAGAGCTCTAGTGTTCCTCTGTGGAGATGGGAGAACCTTCCAGAAGGACAACCATCTCTGCAGCACTCCACCAATCAAGCTTTTATGGTACAGTGGCCAGATGGAAGCAATTCCTCAGTAAAAGGCACATGACAGCTCGTTTGGAGTTTGCCAAAAGGCACCTAAAGACTCTCAGACCATGAGAAACAAGATTCTCTGGTCTGATGAAACCAAGATTGAACTTTTTGGCCCGAATGCCAAGTGTCACGTCTGGAGGAAACCTGGCACCATCCCTACGGTGAAGCATGGTGGTGGCAGCACCATGCTGTGGGGAGGTTTTTCAGCGGCAGGGACTGGGAGACTAGTCAGGATCGAGGCAAAGATGAATGGCACAAAGTACAGAGAGATCCTTGATGAAAACCTGCTCCAGAGCGCTCAGGACCTCAGACTGGGGCAAAGTTTCACCTTCCAACAGGACAAAGACCCTAAGCACACAGCCAAGACAACACAGGAGGGGCTTCGGGACAAGTTTCTGAATGTCCTTGAGTGGCCCAGCCAGAGCCTGGACTTGAATCAAATCGAACATCTCTGGAGAGACTTGAACATAGCTGTGCAGCAATGTTCCCCATCCAACCTGACAGAGTTTGAGAGGATCTGCAGAGAAGAATGGGAGAAACTCCCCAAATATAGGTGTGCCAAGCTTGTAGCGTCATACCCAAGAAGACTCAATGCTGTAATGCTGCCAAAGGTGCTTCAACAAGGTACTGAGTAAAGGGTCTGAATACTTATATAAATGTCATATTTCCGTTTTTAATTTGTAATAAATTAGTAAAAATGTATAAAAACCTGTTTTTGCTTTGTCATTATGGGGTATTGTGTGTAGATTGATGAGGGGGGGGGGGGGGGGGGGAGTGAAGGGGTCTGAATACTTTGTATTTCCAAACAATATCAATATCCTTTTTTCTTCCTTTAAAATGTTAGACTAGTGCTTAAATACCTTGAAGTTCTGCTCTATTGTGTCTCCATTGTGGGTATCTTTGCACGGGGTATCTTTGGACTGGGTGTGTTTTCGCTGGGAATTTTTGAGCTGGGCATCTTTCCACTTTCCAGCTCCTTCCTGCCCTACAGACTATTTGCTCCTCAATTTTTATATTGCTTTTTGTTGTTGTTTATATTATCTTTCTTTGTACATTATTTGGTCTTCCTTTTTAGTCGTGTAAAGTGTTGTGACCTTTATAAATTGCACTTTAAATAAACTTGACTTGTCAGTAACTACACTACACAGGAATGAAAGTGTTGGTAAAGACATAAGAACAATCTATTTCTTACCATGTTCTTCCTCATCTTCATCATCTGATGGGTTGATGACCCCATGGATCTGGGGATTGGCTGGGCTGGGGATGGGGGTGGAGACAAGAGGGCTAGGATCCTCATGAGGCTCCTCCTCTTCTTTCAGGGCCAAACCTGAGTGACAAAAACTACTGATAAACTCTGGTTCTGATAAAGGTTCATAAATCAGCCCAAATATGTTATTTATCTCAATCCTGAATGTGTATCTGCTGGTATATCTGCTGATACATGTTGTGTTTAATCGCCATGTGATGCTGAGGAAATGAAGATCAGTAAGTTAACAGTGGCTTGGTCAGAATCTGTCTCTTCAGAGTGACTGCTCACTTTTGTTGGACGGCACGTATAGGCCATTTATGATGCGTGGTTTCTCATGGTGGAAGGCACAGTGAGGCTTCTGGCAGCCAGCAGGCTGGTTCTCAAAGTAACAAGCGATCTTCTTCCTGTTTTTCTACAAGAGGTGAAAGGTAGGAGTGGACAGGTCAGAACAAGTAGCAACACTGTGAAAGCTCACTTTGCTTTCTATGATAAAGACTCAAAATCCAGGCTTGAAATCTGAGAATTTGGATGGATGACAAAACAGCCCAAAATGTCACTCCCAAAAGATCCAGAGGCAGGAATACAGCCCCTGACCCAGGTTTTAAGACAGGGGCTTTCTCTACCCCTCTATAATATATAACACACAGCCTCAAGTAGGCAAAGCTTTAAGGGGATATTCTTCAAATACTTATTTGTTTGGGATTACTAAGGCAATGATGAATACTGAAGGAAATAATGAGAGAGAGAGAGAGATCCTTACCTTGATCAGCACGTGGCGGAACTTGCAGACCTGTCGGAAGCATCTGTTCTCCTGCCACAGGCAGCAGACAACCTCACAACCGCTGGCGGCTTCACAGTGTCTGAAGGGGCAGCTGTCACCCTGCCCAGGAGATACAGACACAAGTAAGTTAATACAGAGAAAATACAATAGAAAAAAACACTGCCGTGAATACCTGAGCCACTATTTCTTATGGCCCCTACCTTAGCGCAAGTGGCGTTCAAGAAGAAATAGCAGTCATCTCCCTTGTTAGCCATGTTCAGGCTGGTTGATTGGATTCACTTTTGGATGTTCTCTTCAGGGCCAACAGGACACTCTCTGTGCTGGCAGCAGGGAAACAGGAGCCATGGTCGTTTCTCTGGCGTGTGTGGATTTCATTTCTTCACTGTGGTGGCAACAGAACCATTCAGAGTTGAATTCTAAATTCTAAAGGAATTAGAATTCCTTTGTGGTCAACTGTGACATACGTCTGTGACAGTTTTGTGAATATGTAATAATGTGCCTGTATATCTTTTGAGCTTTAAACCTTCCCTGTCCAAGCGAAATGTTAAATTTTCACTGGATCATGACCTCTCTCTCTCTCTCTCTCTCTCTCTCACTCTCTCTCTCTCCACTCACCTGTTTGAGTTGGCAGATGTTCATACTCTAGAGAGTACTGATAATAACATAACAATAGATAATGAGGAGTCACAGTCATTTGGAAACAGAGCGTCAACACAGTTCATCGACACATTCAGTCAATTAGTCCGACTGCCAATTAGGGACAATTACACACACTGTCCAAAGGACCAGCCATTAGGATTTGCAACCCTCTGTGAAAGCACATTTAAGTGTTCTCATAAAATGTAGTCATTCCATATATTTAATGTATCCTATCACAAGCACACATGATTCAAATAAACAGCAGCTTGCTGACTAGTTACTTAGTTTCAGGTGTTGAAATACACTGAGTGTACAAAACATTAAGAACAGCTGCACCATCGAGAGCATCCTGACTGGTTGCATCACCGCCTGGTATGGCAACTGCTTGGCCTCTGACCGCAAGGCACTACAGAGGGTAGTGCGTACGGCCCAGTACATCACTGGGGCAAAGCTCCCTGCTATCCAGGACCTCTATACCAGGCGGTGTCAGAGGAAGGCCCTCAAAATTGTCAAAGACTCCAGCCACCCTAGTCATAGACTGTTCTCTCTGCTACCGCACGGCAAGCGGTACCGGAGTGCCAAGTCTAGGTCCAAAAGACTTCTCAACAGCTTCTACCCCCAAGCCATAAGACTCCTGAACAGCTAATCATGGCTACCCGGACTATTTGCACTGCCCCCCCACCCCATCCTTTTTACGCTGCTGCTACTCTGTTAAGTATTTATGCATAGTCACTTTAACTCTACCCACATGTACATATTACCTCAACTACCTCAACTAGCCGGTGCCCCCGCACATTGACTATGCAACGGTACCCCCCTGTATATATAGCCTCCCTACTGTCACTTTATTTTACTGTATATATAGCCTCCCTACTGTCACTTTATTTTACTTCTGCTCTTTTTTTCTCAACACTTTTTTGTTGTTGTTTTATTCTTACTTTTTTGTTTAAAATAAATGCACTGTTGGTTAAGGGCTGTAAGTAAGCATTTCACTGTAATGTCTGCACCTGTTGTATTCGGCGCATGTGACCAATACAATTTGATTTGATTTGATTTGACCTTCCTAATATTTAGTTGCATCCCCCCCCTTTTGCCGTCAGAACAGCCTCAATTCGTCGGGGCATGGACTCTACAAGGTGTCAAAAGCGTTCAACAGTGTCAAGTTGGCTGGTGGTCCTTTGGGTGGTGGACCATTCTTGATACACATGGGAAACTGTTGAGCGTGAAAAACCCAGCAGCGTTGCAGTTCTTGACAAAAACCGGTGTGCCTGGTACCTACTACCATGCCACGTTCAAAGGCACTTACATATTTTGTCTTGCCCATTCACCCTGGCACCTACTACCATGCCACGTTCAAAGGCACTTACATATTTTGTCTTGCCCATTCACCCTCCGAATGGCACACATCCACAATCCATGTCTCAATTGTCTCAAGACTTTAAAATCCTTCTTTAACCTGTCTCCTCCCCTTCATCTACACTGATTTGAAGATGGATTTAACAAGTGACATCAATAAGGGATCATAGCTTTCACCTGGATTCACCATTGAATATATGGAACGGCTAGTGGGCCCTGAGGACTGGGTTGAGAAAGGCTGGTCATGTGTATAGTGGACTGTATTTAGTGTACTATATTGTGGAGGCCTTCTCAATGTTTGGTTCATGAGAGTGTCATATTGCTTTGACAGAATCTTGACATGCCCCAACTTAATCTGTAGAATGGCTAGGCACACACCTACATGAGGAGAATCACACAGCTCTCACACACACACAGAGAGAGAGAGAGAGAGAGAGAGAGAGAGAGAGAGAATGCATGCTAACAAAGCTCACAGAGACAATTACAGAGTGCACAGCCCTTCATGTTGGCTGAGTATCAGCTGTTGATTTTTTCTGTCTGTGTCTCTATCACTCTTTTCCTCCTCACCGCTTCCCCGTTTAGCCCATTTTATTACTTCTCTATTATTTCTCTATTTTCTTTGTCTCTGCATCGTTGGGAAGGGCCCGTAAGTAAGCATTTCACTGTTAGTCTACACCTGCTGTACGAAGCATGTGACGAATAACATTTGATTTGTTTGAACATTTTAGCACGGTATGGCACGCCCCACTTCTGTCTCTTTAGCTCGTTTCATCATAGTCTTCATTTCTTCATTATCCTTACCACTTGTTTGCTTGATGTCATTATCAACATCATTAGCCACATTATCACAATAATGTCATGGTCTATGGATTGTGTGACTACGCCATCAGAGAGGATGAATATAAGTATATACACTGAACAAAAATATGAATGCAACATGTAAAGTGTTTGTCCCGTGTTTCATGAGCTGAAATAAAAGATCCCAGAAATGTTCTATATGCACATAAAAAATGTTGTGCACATTTGTTTTTACATCCCTGTTAGTGAGCATTTCTCCTTTGCCAAGATAATCCATCCACCTGACAGGTGTGGCATATCAAGAAGCTGATTAAACAGCATGATAATTACACAGGTGCACCTCGTGCTGGGGACAATAAAAGGCCACCCTAATATGTGCAGTTTTGTCACACAACACAATGCCACAGATGTCTCAAGTTTTGAGGGAAGGTGTACTTGGCATGCTGACTGTAGGAATGTCCACCAGAGCTGTTGCCAGATAATTCAATGTTCATTTCTCTACCATAAGCCACCTCCAACATCGCCACCTCCAACACGTGGTCTGTGGCCTCACATCCGCAGACCACGTGTAATCCGGCTTCTTCACTTTTGGGATCGTCTGAGACCAGCCATTTGGACAGCTGATGAAACTGTGAGTTTGCACAACCGAAGAATTTCTGCACAAACCTTCAGAAACCGTCTCAGGGAAGCTCATCTGCGTGCTCGTCGTCCTCACCAGGGTCTTAACCTGACTACAGTTCGGCGTCGTAATCAACTTCAGTTGGCAAATGCTCACCTTCAAAGGCCACTGGCACGCTGGAGAAGTGTGCTCTTCACGGATTAATCCTGGTTTCAACTGTACCGGGCAGATGGCAGACAGCGTGTTTGGCGTTGTGTGGGTGAGCGGTTTGCCGATGTGAACGTTGTGAACAGAGTGCCCCATGATGGTGGTGGGGTTATGGTATGGGCAGGCATAAGCTACAGACAACAAACACAATTGCATTTTAGAAATGTCAATTTGAATGCACAGAGATCCTGTGATGAGATCCTGAGGCTCATTGTCGTGCCATTCATCTGCCGCCATCACCTCATGTTTCAGCATGATACTGCATGGCCCCATGACGCAAGGATCTGTACACAATTCCTGGACGCTTAAAATGTCCCAGTTCTTCCATGGCCTGCATACTCACCAGACATGTCACCCATTGAGCATGTTTGGGATGTTCTGGATCGACGTGTACGACAGCGTGTTCCAGTTCCCGCCAATATCCAGCAACTTCGCACAGCCATTGAAGAGGAGTGGGACAACATTCCACCGGCCACAATCAACAGCCTGATCAACTCTATGCTAAGGAGATGTCGCGCTGCATGAGGCAAATGGTGGTCACGCCAGATACTGACTGGTTTTCTGATCCACGCCCCTACATTTTTTAAAGGTATCTGTAACCAACAGATGCATATATGTTTTCCCAGTCATGTGAAATTGACTGATTTCCTTATATGAACTGTAACTCAATAAAATCTTAGAAATTGTTACATGTTGCATTTTTGTTTAGTGTAACAACATATAATAATAAAATGTGTGTGAAAGCACGAGTTAAGTTAAAAAATAAACATTATAAATCAAAGCCAGCTACCATTAATGTCTTTCTTGTCAGCTTCTTGGTCTCTGATTAATTTGGATAATCTTCATCATCACCTTAACTTTTACTGTAAAATACGTAGTACAAGTCAATATTGTTATATATGAAAATGTATAGTGCAAATTGCATCATGTCTGAAGTTAGTCCAGCAAATTGTGCTGTATCAACGCATGGAATTCCAATCTAATTTATAATGCAAACGATCCTAGCATCATCAACGGGAAATTAGTGATGTTATAATGAGGGTGGGGGGCTGACATTGTTAAGCGCTGGGGGGAGCGATTGCGATGATTGTCTTTCTCTCTCTTGTCCCTGGCAGTTTGCCCAACATCTGCACATCTGATATGAGGTGGATGATGGATTATAGTGAGTGCACAGGTAACCATGCACAACTAATGTGTATATAAGCTAATGTGTTAACAGCTGTAGCGGGACTGTGTGTGTGTGCGTGTTTGTGTGTGTGTGTGTTTGTGTGAGCTCAATCATGTTGGAATTGTCACACATTTCAGTCTTGAGTGCTCGGCAGATTCTGACTGAAGTTCTTCTGTGTTAAACTACTACTCTACTGCTGTTTTATATATTTTTTAAGATGTTCAGTGAAAATTGATGCTGAAAATGTGTCAGGGGCTGAAGTTTTGGCATTAAAGGGGCAATCTGCTGTTGCTACATCCCATCTTAGGATTTATAATGATATGAACCCATTGATTGTTGAAGAATATATATTGTAAATGCCTCGTGAGCTTAGTTCAACTGTCATACACCATTAGAATGTTTGTAAACAAAGAAAATGTAAATAAACACCATAGAGTGTCAAAACATGGTTAAAACTATAATTTTGA